CTTCTGTCTACATCAGGTGCATCACAGTTTAGTTCCTTTCTGCTCTACACAATATAATTTGCACTCCTGAAGGTCCCTCTTAAGTTCGTCTCACCATCATACAGAAGTCAGTGCGTAGTTTTTCCCTCTTTTTTATTAAGGTATTAATTAATAACTCATATTAAGGTACGACAGTAAATCATCAACCAAAAGCTGCCCCTTGAAGCACATGGGAACCACTGTGGGCCCAGCAGAGCCTGGGCTGGAAGGAGCTGCCTCGAGGTGTGCAGGGGGTTTGCTTGGTGAGGTGTTTTGTTTCAGGCAGTAATTCAGTGGTTTCACATCCCTGTTGTTTTGGATTCCCGAGGCCTCTGTTGTGTAATTGCTCTCGAGGTCACTTGCAAGAAAAGGATGTTGAAACCCACGGAGGAGAAACAGGAGGAGGTGTCAGAGAGGATCCTGCCCGCTGGCCGTGTCCTGTGCATCCTGTGGGAGGAGCAGTGACACAGCTGTGAGACAGGAGGGGCAGGAACACACCTGCACTGTCACCTTGGAGCTGGGAAGGTGCAGGGCTGGACAGGACCCTCTGCTCTGGAGGGGAAGGGGTTAAGCAGGTGAAGTAGGAGGTTGTAGAGGAGGCCAATTTCCCCCTTTCTCTGTGGCTGTGAGGCTTTAGAATGTCACTTTTTCGTTTTGACACATGTGTTTTTGTATAATTTGCTCTGTTTGGCATCTGGCTGATCCTCAGGGCATCTCTTCCCACAGCTGTGGGGTTGCTGTGTTTGGCCAGCAGTTGAGGACACTTTCAAGTGTGGCTTCTGTTCTTCTCAAACTCTCTTCTCACAACCTGATGTTCATCTCAGTGTTGGTCCCATAGTTTGGCCAGCACAGGTACAACCACTGGCACACATTTCCCAGGAGATCAGAGGGCAAAACCTTGGTCAGAGCACTCTACTGATTTCACAGTCAGCCATCTCACTATTAATTAATTGTTGCTCAGTGTGATTAATCATTTGTCAGCCTCAGTGGCACTAAGGGGTCTTTGCTGGGATGCAGAGATCACTGTAAGTTGGAAATATCCCTGTCCTACTTTGGGTTCCCTGCAGTGTGAAAGGAAGATCTGACACCACTGAGACCTTGAGATCTTCAACTTTCCTGTGAATTTTAACTTTTTTTAGCTAGAAATTGTTTCACTTGTAATGTTTTTTTCATTTAATTTCTTCATTGTTGAATTTTTTCATTCCAACAGGCTGCCAGCTGCATTTAAATTATTATTTGTTCTTTACATTTGGAGGCACCCAAAAATAATTGGTTTTAGTTCTAAGCAAACTATCTCAAAGAATACAAACAGATCCCAAATCCCTCTGTCTTCACTCAGCCCTCCTGTGAAATTTAATGTGTAATTTCAGTTTCAAGACTGCAAAGATTTAAATGACACTTTGGACTGTTGGTCACGACAAAATATTTTGATTTTTGCAACAATTCTTTTGTGTTAGAAATCTAGGGGGAACCAGGTTGATGCAGGGAAGGACACTAGTGAGTCTGGGCCACCAGCTCTTGTGAAATGGTTGGTTTGGGTATGAAGAGATCATGTTAATCTGAACCTTTAAGAAAATAGTTGTTGCAAAGTGCTCAAGTGTGAGCTGGTTTTGCCAGTCCATGTTAATCCCAGTGGGTTTAGAGGACGAGAGGGAGTGGCTTCATGGAGCCATCCATTATATATATATATATTTGATCTGTTGAAAATTGCAATCATCAAGGTGGTTGTCTGACCCACAGTATTGTTTAACACACAGTGGTGGCACAAAAACTGCTGTTATTCCTTATGGGATGAGGGCAGAGAAGGCAGAGGCAAATCATAGCTCCTAGATATTAGCCAGTTCAGAGTTCCTGCAGCAGGGAGCTGGAAGAGCAAGTGCAGGCAGCCAGAGCATTAAAACAAGCTAACACTAAATACTCTGTGCCTTTCATTTGTCTGGGATACTCTGTGGTTCACCTTGTGCTCTGCAGAGTCACAGACGAGCAGAAATCCCAGCTGGGCTGGCAAGAGTTTGAGAAAAAATTAAATATTTCTCTGGCTTTATAACTCCCCTCAGTGTTGGAGCAGAAATAGGCTGTTGCACATGGATCCTGATTTTGATAAGAGGGTGCAAAGATGGGCTGCTGTCCTGCTCAGCTGTGTCTGCAGGGATGGAGGGCTGGGGGCTCAGGGAGCAGCTTTGTTGTGCCCGCAGCGTGGGGCCTCAGCTGTCCTTCATGTGATCTCAGGCATCTTCCCCGCTGTATTTTTAGAGCTGTTGTGCAAAGAAGATTAGCAAAGGACTTAATATCGGTGTGGATATGGATTCTTTCTCAAATATGGCAACGTTCCCCCTCTTTAGGTGATGGGTCTGGGCGCTGTCGTAGCTCTATCACCAGGGCTGTGCATTGACATGTGCCTCTCCCTGGCCTTTCCTGGTTCTCCAGGTGTGGTGTAGCTGTCAGAAATAGTGGCTGCACTCCCTTAGTCCTGGTCTTGGTCTTGCTGGATTTAATGCCAGTTTATTAGGGAGCCTGTCTGCAGCTGGGTCAAGGGCATCCTTAGTGGAGAAAGAGTGAGTGGTGTGTTGAGATCCAGGGGCTAAATTTATCTTCAAGTGGGAGCCAGAAGCACCTGGATCCAGGGGTGATGTGGGTGGGTTCACACTGGCCATTGTGGCCTTTCAGTGGTGAAGGGGCACTTAGAGCCCAGTGCTCCTGGTGAAGGTGTTCACTGAGGCCTTTGGAGGGTCCTGGTCCCAGCAGAGCAGCTCTTGTTCCTCTGCAGACTCCCTCAAATGTTCCTGGCACAGCTGCACCCCTGAAGGAGTAGAATCACAGACTGGCTTGGGTTGGAAGGGACCTTAAAGCCCACCTCATTCCACCCCCTGCCATGGGCAGGGACACCTTCCACTGTCCCAGGTTGCTCCAAGCCCCGTCCAACCTGGCCTTGGACACTTCCAGGGATCCAGGGGTAGCCACAGCTTCTCTGGGCAACCTGTGCCAGGGCCTCCCCACCCTCACAGCCAACAATTCCTTCCCAATATCCCATCTAAATCTCTCTTCTTTTAAAGACCATTCCCCTCTGTCCTATCAAACTGTTCACCCTGTTGTGTTGTCAGCTGGGGCAGCCTTCTCTCAGGGCAGGGTTTTCAAAGACACTTTTTGCAAGTGTGTTAAGGGCACATGGAAGGAGTGACACGGGGCAAACAGCTGAAAAATAGTTGCTAAATATTCTGTTATCCCAGTGGCCTACAAAAGTGTTCTCAGCTTTCACTGCCTGACTGCTGGGACTCCAGTCACTAAGAGTGGGTGGCCTGGAGGCACTGGCTGGGATGTGCCAGAACAGGGAAGAGCAGCAAGGCAAAGGCTTTGGCCTCGGGATAGCACTGGATGGTGGTTGGAGTCTGGAGGGGTGTCCCCCTGCAAGCGTCCTGTGACAATGCCTGACATCTATCCATGAATTCCCATCACAACAAATTAAGCTTCTTAAAGCAGTGCATGTGCTTTTGCTGGCTGGAGCCACGTGGATCAGTGTTGGAAACGGTCATTTACCATGGAAAACTTTGTATTTATCTGCACTGGTTTAGTTTTCCCTGGGATGAGAGTGAAAAGCATAGGTAGAGGTTCTTCCAGAAATGTGGCAGAGCAAGCAGGACACTGCTCAGTGCCTTGGAGAGCAGGATTTAAAGCCCTGTGTGCTCTGTTATGGCCCGAATTCCTGCTGGCACTTCCCGCACTTCCCTCCTGATACCGAGCAACACGATAATCTGAAATAACTCCTTTCCCGTCCAGAGCTCCAGGAGCAGGAGATCTGGAATGTGTCCTTAAGTGCCTGGGCTATTTTAGGAGCAGGGGCCATGAATCCATGCAGGGGCAACCAGCCCTTGCCTTGCTGTGGGAACAGGGAATGTGGCCGCTCCGGGCACACTGAGAGCCCGGCTGAGCTCGAGAATTATCCCATTAATGTTTCCTTTGTGGTGGAGACTTCTCTCCTGAGTAGCTGTGTTTTTATGCACTAAATAAAATGGTTGTGTCTTATGGAAGATAGGAAGATGGCAGCACTTCCTAGAGGTGAGGGTTGGCCTTGGAATAGTGGCAAAAAAATCCTGAAGCCAAAATGTGGAGCTCTGAGATTAGAATGGAAGGAGAGCACAGATTCTCCTGGAACAGCTCTAGTGGAATTCTGGGCAGCCTGTGCAGCAGTCACATATCTACAACAGAATCACAGCACGCAAGACATTTGTCAGAAATCCAAGGAAAACATTCTGTCCTGCAAACATCTCAGAATATAGTAAGAGATGGAGAAGTGCATATAATAAGAGATGCTTCTCTTAGGGAAAGAGGAGCAACAGTAGGTATGGTTTATACAAGTTAATTTGCTGCAAGTGCCATGGAAAACTGGATTTCTGTTGGAGCTGATAAAGGGCTTTTCAGAGGGATGTGCTAATTAAAACAAGGAAAATTTCAGAACCAGGACAGAATTGTTTCAGAAACGGATAAAGCAAGGCAAAGTGAGTAGCCAATAATTTGTGGTCTTACCCTTGATAGTTTAGGGCCACTAGAACTGTTGGACACATCACATTTTAAGGTACAGGAGTGTTAAATATTTTTAATGGCTTCTTCATACAGACAATATCGACTTGACCCAAAGATAATGAAATTCAAGTCTTTAGCCAGCAGAAATCAGCAGAGCTGTGCTTGCTTTTGCCATGAGGTTCCTGATGATGAGTCCCTTCCTAGTACTCTTTAACAAGAGGATTTTGTTTCTGCTTCATGTGTGAAAGAAAAATGATGTTAAGACACGTTTGGCTGATGACTGACTTGGTCCTGTCTCTGCTTGTAACTATTTTGCTTTAACTTCACCTCTGAGAGAAGTGGAGCCAACACAGGGGTTGAGGAGCCTCTGTTTTGTTGGAGTTTACTGTAAGGGAGCTGATTAATTCAGGAAGAGTTAAAGCTGATCCACCCCGCAGCTGAACTTGCTTTGTTTTCACTCCCAGGCGTACGAGAAGCGCTTTCCTACCTGCCCAGAGATCCCAGTGTTTCTGGGGAGTGAAATCCTGCACGAATCCAGGAGCGAGGACGGGGCCATCCACATCATTGAGCGGAGCTGCAAACTCAACGTGGACGCTCCCAGGCTGCTGAAGAAGGCAGGTGGAACCTGGGGCACGGAGAGACCTGGGCTTGGTTGGCTCCTCGGAAAGGGTCTCGAAGTTACTCTTTCTTTCTCTGTCTCTTTTTTCCTCCCTCCTTTTGGTTCTTCGCCTCCCTCAGATTGCAGGGGTGGAGTACGTGTTCTTCATCCAGAGGAACACTGTGAACTGGAAGGAGCGCACGCTGCGCATCGAGGCCCACAACGAGACCTTCGCCAACCGCGTCGTGGTCCGGGAGACCTGCAGCTACTCTGTGAGTGCTCTGGTTCATGGGGCTGCCGTGGAAGGGATGGGAACTGTGCACTGATTACAAGGTGGAGGTGCTTGGAGGGATTTGGGCGCCTCTGCAGCACTGGACAGCAGCATTCTGTGATCAGATAGAGTTCTTTTGCTTTGGAGAGGGACTTTGGACAAGGGCCTGGAGGGCACAGGGAATGGCTTCCCACTGCCAGAGGGAAGGGTTAGATGGGATATTGGGAAGGAATTCTTGGCCGTGAGGGTGGGGAGGCCCTGGCACAGGTTGCCCAGAGAAGCTGTGGCTGCCCCTGGATCCCTGGAAGTGTCCAAGGCCAGGTTGGACAGGGCTTGGAGCAACCCAGGCTAGTGGAAGGTGTCCCTGCCCATGGCAGGGGAGGGTAGAACTAGATGGTCTTTAAGGTCCCTTCCAACTCAAACCAGTCTGGGATTCTGTGATTTTGTAGGGCTTGAGAAACTTCTTTGGGTTGATTGGGATCCTCTGATTAGGGTGAGAGTAGAAAGCAGAGATGGTGCTCCAGAGCTGCTGGTATTCCCTGGGTTTCTTTTTGATTGAAATTCAAGTTAATAAAAGCATCTGGATCTTGAATATGTATCTGGACGTTTAGAATGGAACCCTTAATATTTGTTATGATGAGAGCCTGAGGGAAGTCTGGCAGTTAATTTTGCCCACAACTGAGTCAAAGTTTTAGCACCTTGTCATGATCTTCATGCTCTGAAGATTTGGAGAAAGGTCTTGAGCCTTGTTTGTGGCCTGGGCTGTCTCAGTTTGTGCTGCCTCTTCAGCACAGGGTGCCATTTCACTGTAATTGTGCTCTTAGGGCTCGGTCACCGTTTAATAGCTTCAGCTGTTTCTGGAAGCAACCAGACACTGCTTTTTGTTCCTTAAACAAAAGTCCAGATCCTGTTACCTACCTGCCCTTTTGGCAGCTGGACAAGAGCTCAGCTTCTTGGGAGTCAGCGAGCTGTGAGCAGCTCCAGGCAAGCGGAGGAGCTGAAAAGCTGTCAACATTTTGGATGGTGAGGGGGTTCCTGAGCCACAGATCACTTGGTGGCTGCATGGGGTGTCCTAAAAACTGCAGTAAATCAAACTTCCATCATTGTCAAAGGTGCTGATGGGTCTGAAACGCTCCCAGGTCATCCCTGGGACCTCTCAGACATTGTTACACTTGCTGATTTTGGCTGTGTCCCCTGTCCTTCGGAAGGAAACGTCAGCATCTGGGCTTTGAGGGGAACAGGGTGGGAGCTCCTGGCTGCATCCTCAAGATGGTTCCCTGCTCTATTTTTACCAGTTCCCTTTTCCCTGCCAGAGTGCACCGGAAGCAGGTTTATTCTCATCTTTCCTTTCTTGCAGGGTTCTCTGAGGCAACTTGGAGAAATATGATCCTGCTCCTGCAGTTATTGAATGTGTCCCTGAGGAATCTGTCCCTTATTGTCTCTCTGTGTGGGGGCTGGAACTGTTGTTCCTTCGTGTGGGTTTGTGAACAGCAGCACCTACAGAGAGAAGGCAGAGACTTCTCAGGAAAGGGTTAAGTTTAAAAGAGGAAAAGATTATATGTTTTTACCATATATAGAGTAACTGAGGGGAAATGACTAGAAAGGAAAGGTGTGTTTTGAACTGAGTAGGAAAATCCTCTGCTCTGCCATGTCTCCAGTGTTTTGGGGGGGAAGGCTGACATTAGTGGCTGAGTTTCCCATCCAAAACTAGAAAAAAAACCCCTGTTTTGCATTTTTCTTCATTGCAGATGTAGAAGTTTTAATTACATGTCCCACAAGGCCATCCCTTGTCTTTCCATAAGGAGCTCTTGACATGATGGTTTCAAGTGGGTAGTTTAACTCCTATTTTAGTGCAACTTTTGCTACTACTGTTACTTTTCAGGTCTGCTGGGACAGAGGTGGGGTTTAACCTTCACTTCCTCGTGCATGTGAAGAGTTTTGGGTTAAAAAACATCCACATGCCCAGTTTGTGATGAGTTTCTGTTACTCTGGGACAATTACCCTGTTACGTACAGTCAGTGCTTCCTCTGCCCCCTCACTCTGTAGCTCTGGAGATTTGCCTGTGTGGTGCCAGGGACAAGGGCCCTGTCATTCCACGAGGATGTGCCAACCCCATGTGTCCTTTGGGTGCAGGTTCACCCTGAGAACGAGGAGTGGACGTGCTTTGAGCAGTCGGCGTCTCTCGACATCAAGTCCTTCTTTGGCTTCGAGAGCACGGTGGAGAAAATTGCCATGAAGCAGTACACCTCCAACATCAAACGGGTAAGATGGGTGCCATGAGCCCAAATCCCACACCTGCTCTGTGTGCCCCAATCTTCCTCTCTGGAAATAGGCCCAGTGTGGTTTTATACCCTTCGCTGTGGCTCTGAAATCCCTCCGTTGGGCAAAGGAAGAAAAAAGCCAGTGTGCAACGAGCAGAAAACAATCTGCTGGCTGGAATGTGGCTGTTCAGGGATGGAGCAGGCTGTGCCAGAGGAGGGTTGCAGTGGATGCTGTGGGTGCCAGGCTCCTCGGACAGTGGGGACACTGTTCTCGTGCAGGAAGGGAAAGTTCGGGGTGAAAATCAGCACCCTGTGTCTCTGGGGCAGAGCCACTTCCTTTCAGTGGCTGCAGAGGAACAGGGCAGCTGATTGATGGTTTGGGAGCAGGAGAAGGAGATAAGTGTTTTAAGGGCAGCTGGAATTTGCCTGGCCAGTGCTGTGATTCCCCATTGATATGGGTCTTTCCTACAGAAGGGTTTTCAGCGGGGCGATGCAGAGGGAAGGAGACAACATTTCCCTGCTGTTCATCTCCAGCAGTGTCAGTCATCTGCCCCGAGGAAAATCCCACACCTTGCTGGCTCTGGAGGATGCTTTTCCTGACGGGAGTTTTCCCCTGCAGGGCAAGGAGGTGATTGAGCACTACCTGAAGGAGCTCATCTCCCAGGGCATCACCTTCATCCCACGCTGGACCCCTCCGGCCGGGAGCGGGCGGGACGAGCCAAGCCCGGCTGTGGGACACGAGGCTGGTGACATCCCAGTGGATCCTGGGGCTCCTGGATCCCCCTGCCCCTCTGCAGAGGCTGCCAGCCCCGATGGTACGTAGTGCCCAAGCAGCAGCAGCCGCTCACGAGCCTCGAGTAGCGCTGACTGAGGAGTTTATTTTTATTTCTTTTGGCACCAGGTTTTTCTTCTGGATTGTGGGCGAGGAGGAAGGAAAGTTATTTTCTTTTTTTTTCAAGGAAAACAAACAATGGACCTTTTTCCTTTTTTTTTTTTTCCCCCTAAAACTGAAAGGCTAAGAAAAGCTGCACAAGCAGGATGTTTTTGAGCTTAGAAAACAAATTGATCTGCCTCTTAAGGTATTTTCTGCTTTAAACTGGAGAAGCTTAAAGGTGTCTTGAGTATGCTAGAATTGAATTATAATGAAATATTTTGTCTGTTTTGAAATTAGTATTCTTGGGGACCAGTTTGGATGGCTTTTGCCCCTATATCAGGCCAAGACAAACTTGCAAAATGTTGCCTAATGCATTTCTCCCAGAAAATACCTGAATCAAACTTTATAATGCCTTCTGTTGGTCTGATGTCTTGTAGATGAAATAAAATACTTCTCTGACAAAAAGAAATAGGAGACACCTTTGAATTTAGAGTTGTGGTATTAGAAACAGTTGTTGTCATCCCTCAGAAGGAAAGACAGCACTTGTTTTGCTGAGTGTAACTAGGGAAAAAGCTTGGAATTTGGAAACATCAATGGTTCTGCTCTCACCTGACCTTCTCTAGTAGCTTTTCTGTCCTGGAATCCATTTGGAAAAAGATGGAGATCCACAGAGGAGCTGGCTGTGAGAAATATTTGAGATTAAAGTTAACTTCGGAGTGGTGGATCCCATCTATCAGAAGAGGAAAGTAGCTCTTATTTTTCTGCCTATATTCCTGTTTAGGAAGGGATTAGCTTCTCTGGGCCTGCTCCCCAGCTCATGGATTCCATGTGTAGCACTTCCAGATATGTTTTCTGTGTTATCCTGCCTATCCTGTGGGTGTCCAGGCCTTGTTTGTAGGTAATGGCATCTGGTGCAAACCCTTGTGCCTGACAAAGAGCAGCTCTGAGGTGTCCCCAGCCCTGCCCCTCGTGTGCCCCAGCACAGCTGCTCCCCTGGTGCCCCATTCCCCTCACTGGCACTGCACACCCAGCCCTGGGTGGCACATCTGGCCCTCAGTGCTGGCAGTCACCAACCCCTTGTCCTTTGTCTCTGAGCTGCTGGTGTTCACAGGACTTCTTCCCCTGCTAAAACCCCCCCTTGCTATCCAAAATACGGTGTTATTGTCCGTTTCCCTCTGCTGTCCCTGAGCAGAGGAACAGTTTGGTTTTCCAGTGAGCTGCTTTTTAGCTTCTTGTTATTGGAATTGTGCATGAGACTTTAGGACACTGGGGACTGCAGTGCCCGAGTCTTGGAGTGGTTAGTGAGCTGAGTGCTAGAGCTCATGATATATCTTCTAAAGCTCCTGCTGGAGCAGTTCAGGCTGAATGGAATATCAGTGTTGTAAGAGACAGGTGGAGTGATCCAGTTTGGATCCAGTCTGTGCTGTCCGTGGCCTCACGCCCCAATCACTGTGACACCATCCCTCCCTCCCTCCCCCAGGCAGGTGAAATGAGGCCTCTGAGCAATGCCCATGTAAATCCCAAGGAACCCTGTGTGCAGGAATAACTGCCCATCTCCCTGTGGCTGTGCCAAGGCTCCTCTGAACTGTTCCCTCTTCCCCCAGCTGACAAACTGGACGCCGAGTACATCGAGCGCTACCTGGGCCAGCTGACCCCCCTGCAGGAGAGCTGCCTCATCCGCCTGCGCCAGTGGCTGCAGGAGACACACAAGGGCAAGGTGGGTCGGGGGGCACCCAGGGGCACCCCTGGGCTCTGCACCTGGGATGGGGCAACACACCCTGGGGAATGAGAGGCTGGAGAGCAGCGCCGTGGAAAGGGATCGGGGGTCCTGGTGGATGGCAGGTTGAACATGAGTCAACAGTGCCCTGGCAGCCCAAAGGGCCACTGTGTCCTGGGGGGGCATCCAGGGAGGGGATTGTCCCGCTCTGGTGTTGCCTCACCTCCAGCCCTGGGGGCAGGTTTGGGCACCACAGTATCAGAAGGATCTAAAGCTGTTAGAGAGTGTCCAAAGGAGGAACACGAGGATGGGGAAAGGTCTGGAGGAACCACGGGAGGAGCTGCTGAGAGCACTTGGCTTGTTCAGCTGGAGGAGATGGAGCACAGACCTCATCGGGGTCTGCAGCTTCCCCATGAGGAACAGCTCTGAGCTCTGCTCCCTGTGAGCAGTGACAGCACCCAGGGAATGGCTGGAGCTGTGTCAGGGCAGGGTCAGGTTGGATCTCAGGAAAAGGTTCTTCCCCCAGAGGCTGGTTGGGCACTGCCCAGGCTCCCCAGGGCAGTGGGCACAGCACCAAGGCTGCCAGAGCTCAGGGAGCACTTGGACAATGCTCTCAGGGACAGGGTGGGATTGTTGGGGTGTCCTGTGCAGGGCCAGGAGTTGGATTGGATGATCCCTGTGGATCCCTTCCAACTCATGATTTTTCCCTGGAAGGCAGCACAGGCACTGTGGGATAGGTGTCTGTGCTCTGCTGGGATGTTCAGAAGCTGCCTGGGCTCCTCCTGGTTGAAGGAGGGTCTCTCCATCTCAGGCTGAGAGGGTAACTGGTGTGTGGCTGAGAAAAGAGAAGATCTGGGGCAGCTTGAATGCCTCAAGAGGGATCTAACCCCAGATTTCTTGATGGAGAGAGATTGGAAGGGAAGAACAAAGGATGGCAACAGAGAGTAACTGGGTGGGATGAGTAGATAAATGGTGCTTAGGAAGAAGAGAAAACAGGAGAAAGATGGTTGGAACATCCCCCTGGAAAGCAGAGTCCAGCTAGAGGAGCTTTGCCAGCTCTTTCTGCATGATGTGCTGTATCTGTCTCAGAGCTGAGAGACGAAGTGTCTCAGTTGAGTACAGGGAGTTTGAACATCATTTATAAAGCCCTGTTTCTTCTTGGAGAAATTAACGTGTATCACCCATGTAGAACTAAAATGTAACAAAGACTTGGTTCTGCAGTTCTGTTACTGTTTAACTCATGAGGAAGTTCCCTTGTATGTGAGTGTGTGTGGAATGGTGGATGGAGAAACATCTACCAGAAATCCTCGGGGTGGAGAGAACAGTCTGTGTTGAGGCAGTGTGAGAGTCTCCCAGCAGCTGATGACCTCCAGACATCAACAACACTGTTGAATCTGTAAAAGCTGACAAGTTCACAACACAAATCATCTTCCAAAGCTCTCCAAGGCCACTGGGGTACAGGAGCATCAATAACATGTTGTATAAGGGGGACCATATCCAGGAGCATGGTGGCTGCTGGGTGCAGGTAGAGACTGCATACATATTTATATGTATGGGTATATATATATATATACACACACACCTGATGGAGCAAAGGGCCCCTTGAAGCACTGTAACACCTCCCTGCAAGCTGCTGTCGTGGTAGTGTGATCCTCTGCCTGGGAGTAAACACAATAACAGCTTCAATAATAAAAGGGCTTCTGCTAAATATTGGTTGTGATCTGTGTCTCCCCTGATTCAGCCTCTTGACAGACAAAAGGTGCTTGACAAGTGGACACAACACAAGGGGCAGGCAGGGATCAGTCCCCAGATATAACTGTGCTCTGAAATACAGGACATGGGGCTTTTCAGGTCCATGGAGACCTGTGCAGTAAAACAGTGTGGGCTGTGGTGTGGTAGGAGATATCTCACCCACTGGGTACCCACTGATGGGAGCAAGACAGGGAGGCTTTATCCATCCCTGGGATCTGCAAGGATCCTGCTTTCAGCTGGAACAGGCACCATCCAAACATTGGCCTGTTTTGTTCTCTGGGTTGTTTTTTCCCCTCCGTGTCAAAGGCTGGGGAATGGAAGCTGGAGAAGCAAAAAGTGAGGGCACGTGAGGAAAATGTGGAACAGCTGCCCCTTGGGGTGCTTGGAGCTGGGTGGGATGTGCTGTGCAGGGAGCCTGGGCCAGGTACAGCTGATTGCTGAGCTCTCATACCCTCGGGTGGGCTTTCCCAGGGCAGCTTGAACATGTGGGAAGGAAGGTGCTGGCTATTGAAAATTCATCCTGAACCCCCTCACGCTGCTCCCCTGTTTGCTTCCCCTGATTCCCTGTCAGAACAGTACAAAACCAGGAGCTTGGTTTTCCAAGCCTCGGGTTTTCCCTGGAGAGGCTGTTACCTTGCTGTGACAATCTGTTCCTTTAATTCAGAGCAGGGATGTCCTTATTCCTCTGTCAAAAAATATCAAAAAATAGATCTCCTGTTTCTTGGAAAATGGCCCTTCTTATTTTTGTCCTTTCTGTCCTATTTCACTCTCCCTTCCCTGCTCCTTCCAAAGCAGGCATTACCTTTAGAATCAGATTTATCATTGCTTTAAAAATCTGAGGCGCTGAAGGAACAAACTGAAACGGTGTTAAAATTGCAGCTCCTTGAAGCTCCTGATCATGGCTTTGCACCATGGAGAAGAGTGCACACAGTTTCACGCCAGGCTGAAATTAAAACTTCATTTTCTGGCATGTGGGAGTTACTGCTTTGCTTGGACAAGGATAAAAGACTAATTCCACTGTGGAATAAGTCCCCTCGGAGCTTCCTGCCTTTGGTCCAAACAGAAGCACTGGATTTGCCTCTTGCCTGAAGCTGTGAACGAACAGAGGAGGTTTGAAACGTGAATAGTAACAAACCTTCCCCCAGCCATCCCCTCTCCTGGGCCCTGCAGGAGATGCAGGGGCTGTTGTGGGTGTTTGGGCTGATGTGTGCTGAGTAACAGGTGCCTCTGAGCAGCAGGAACACAGACATAAATCATCTGATGGAAACTCTGCTGTCTTTAATCTTGCTGCGATGCAGAAAAAATGTTGGGGGCATTCCTCTAAATACTCCTGAGATCCTGTTTGGGAAGGCTGCCCTTCCCTTTCCATGCCAAACAGATGCAGTGTTAGAACCTGCTGAACAGTGTTAATCTCCCACCTGCTCCTCAGGTGCTTTGGGTTTAGTTTAGGCTGCCCCATTCTTTGGGTGAGTCAGTTCTTAGCTTGTGAAACCGAGGTTGCTCCTGCCTGACACTGCTGCCAGCCTTCCTTCTGCCCTGATTTCTGTTTTCCTGAGCGTGGCAGTGGACAAACAAAGGAGCTCTGACTCCTGAACGTGCTATTTTGTGTTACAGCAGGGCTTGGAGTGCTTGTGTTGTGTTAAGCAGTGTGGATGCTCTGGAGGAGACAGTCCCTGCTCCACAGAGCTTGAATTTCTAATGGAAACTTTTGGGGGAGCTGGGTGAGTGACTGAGAATCCAGGAGCACGTGGAGCTCTGATCCAGCTGGGTTTGCTGCTGACAGGCTGTTAGTGAGATCTGGTGCTTCTGTGGAATCCATCAGGATCATTGTAATTCCTGCTGCTTGGCTTTACTGGCAAGTTTTCCTTGATTTTTCAGCTAAAGGGCGCATGGGAGATCTGGGAGGAGGTTGGAATAAGCCATTCTAGAGGCTTGCTTTGGGAGAGCTTTTGTGCCTGTGATGCCACAATTACTGACAGTGTTGGGATGAGTGATAAAGAGAGGGGGTATTGTAGTTTGGTTGATTTGGAGCAAGAGTTAGTGTGGTGTGGTGGGGCAGGGAAGCCTTGGGAAGCATTTGGCAGCTTTCCAGTTCAAACACCAGCAGCAGGGCCTGCACAAGAGCTGGAATTGGTGCTGGTGGGATCATTCAGGCTGCACAGTCTGATCCCCCTCCAAAGAGCCCGTGCTTGGCGTGGTCAGTGTGTTACCTGTGACTGGTGCCATCCTGTGCTGGTTTGCCCTGGGCAGGTGAACTTTCAGCTCCCTGACTTTCACATGGTATTGTGGTTGTCCTTGTGGATAAACAGCCGAGGCAAACATCAGCCAGCCTGGGGTTTGCTGGGGCTTCTGAGAATTGGATCAGGGAAAGGCTTCCCACAGGCAGGGAGTTGGTCCCTTCCTTTGTGCTCCCGGCACCTCTGCTGCTCTCAGCTGGGTTAGTTTAGGAGGGAGGAGCAATGTAGGTGTCGTGTTTGCTTTAATGCCTTAGTTTTAAGAGATTAAAAAGTGGTGTGCACTCTGCAGCCTCCTCTGCAGGGCACATGGAACGTGCCAGTCCTGACCCTGGGCCTTTCTCCTGTCCCAGATCCCCAAGGATGAGCACATCCTGCGCTTCCTGCGGGCTCGGGACTTCAACATCGACAAGGCCCGGGAGATGCTGTGCCAGTCGCTGTCCTGGCGCAAGCAGTACCAGGTGGATTATATCCTGCAGTCCTGGAGGCCCCCTGCCCTCCTGCAGGAGTACTACACGGGGGGGTGGCACTACCAGGACAAAGGTGAGGAGCTGACACTGATGCTACAGCACAGTCTGGGGATGGGACCTCACCAGTAACCTGGGAGTTTGGAGGAAGTTGTGCTGACACTTTATTAGTTACCAGAGCAGCTCAGTGCCTGTAAACAGCCACTCTGGTTTGCTGTAATTTTATTTTCTCTGCTCAGTTCAGGCAGACTGGTCAGTGCAAAGCAGCATCTCTTTGATAAAGCTGCCTTGAATCTGATTTTTTTTATCCTTCCAAAATATTCAAAGGGGCTTTTATAAAAGGTTCTAGAGTGATAAGATAGCCTGGAGACTGGGCTGCTTCCCTCTTGAAACCCTCCTGTTTGTTTTGAAGATGGACGGCCACTCTACATCCTTCGGCTCGGCCAGATGGACACAAAGGGTTTGGTGAAAGCTCTGGGAGAGGAGTCACTGCTGAGACATGTGAGTTGTGCCTTCATGTCTCTCCTGAGGAGCTCTGTGTCCCTCGGGGGGTTTAGAAGTCCTGTCATAGTGGAGCAGCAATCATGGAAGGGTTTGGGTTGGAAGGGACCTCAAAGCTCATCTCATTCCACCCCCTGCCCTGGGCAGGGACACCTTCCACTAGCCCAGGTTGCTCCAAGCCCCGTCCAATCTGGCCTTGGACACTTCCAGGGATCCAGGGGCAGCCACAGCTTCTCTGGGCAACCTGTGCCAGGGCCTCCCCACCCTCACAGGGAGGAGTTTCCTCCCAAATATCCCATCTACCCCTGCCCTCTGCTGTACTTCTGGGTTCTGTGTTTTTTAAAATAAGATCTCCAGGCTATCCTGGTTCCTCAGCCATACTCAGGCTAATCCTTGTCTGTGCTGTCCTTGGTTCCAGGTTCTGTCCATTAATGAGGAAGGACAAAAGAGATGTGAGGAAAATACCAACATCTTTGGCCGCCCCATCACGTCAGTACTGGTGGTTTTCCTGAATCCTTTACAGAGATTCACTGATATAGTGAAGAATGTTGCTGTGGAGGTTTAGGATGACTGGGATTGATGTCCTTAGGGTTGAAGTGCAGACACACACAGTGAGTGTGTCTGTTACAGGCTCTTTGGGGAGCACTATGTGTGTATACATATATATTTATATGACTAAAATGCAGACAAATTGTACAGTTTCATATGAAAGCAAGTATTAGTCCTTCCTTATATCTTTTTATATCCCATTTCAGATGAATTTGATCTTCCTGTCTTGGTGATTTTAATCCATATCTTTGTAATTATAGTGTTTTTTCTATATAGGAACTTGTCTGCCATATTTCACTTTCATTTAAAATGCATTTTTAAATTATTTTTAGCAATTGGCCTGCACACTTTCACCCCTTCTAGAGTGACATTGTATGTTCTTGCACTTAAGTCTGGGTGTCTGTTTTACCTGAAGCTCACCTGGATTCAGGTGTCTCCTGCCTGAGTGTTGATCTGCTTTTTATTGGAACTGCTGGTCTCCCCTGTGGGCTCCCCTGGATCCTGCGTGGGCTGTGGGGTTACTGGGGTTCTGTGGATCCTGAACTGAGCAGCCACTGTTGGCTGCAGCTCTGACAGGCCTTTTTCTGTGGGTTTGTTTAGATCCTGGACGTGCCTGGTGGACTTGGAAGGGCTCAACATGCGGCATCTGTGGCGGCCTGGGGTGAAGGCCCTGCTCCGGATCATCGAGGTGGTGGAGGACAATTACCCCGAAACCCTGGGGAGGCTCCTCATCGTGAGAGCCCCCCGGGTGTTCCCTGTGCTCTGGACCCTGGTGGGTGAAAGCTGGGCTGCAGGGTCATGAACAGCTGTGCATGTACAGAGAGCTAAACCAGCCAGAGCCAGGGAGGGAAAAGCCCCCAGGTAACTCCAGGCTGAACCCCTGAAGAGGCCACAGTGTTGCTGCAGAGCCCAGCCCTGGTGTGCCTGGAGCTCACGTGGTCCCAGTGACTGTCATCTGTCAGGACAGGGTGTCAGACCTAAACTGCAACTCTTCACGCAGTGGGAGCTCAAACTTGGCGGGTTTTCATGTGGATGGGAAGATGGATGTTTTTTAATCTCATGCTGGAGGACACTGAAGAGTAATCAGCAGTAAATAATAAATATGGTTCTGCCTGGTGCCTGCTGTAATGGGAGAACATGGTCAATAAATTCCTTGTGGGGTTTGTGTGTGAGGCAGTGACAGCAAACTTATTTTACATGAAGTAGAAAATGTTGTGAGATGACAATATACCCCAATATACCCCAGTCAGAGTTCACTTCCCATTTGGTACCCCTTCCTTTGGGGAAGTACTTCAGCATTTCAAAGCTCCTGTTGGACTGCATTCCTGCTGCTGAGACCTTCCAGTCTAGAGCCTAAAGCATCCTTATGAGATGGTGCAAACATTGTCTCTAACTTCCTTCAGTGACAGTGATGTCTTCTGTCCCCTTTTTCTTTCAGGTCAGTCCCTTTATCAATGAGAACACGCGGCAGAAGTTCCTCATTTACAGTGGGAATAACTACCAGGGCTCAGGAGGGCTGGTGGACTATGTGGATAAAGAGGTGATCCCAGACTTCCTGGGAGGAGACTGCATGGTGAGTGTTCTTTGCTGCTGTGCAGGTGAAATCTGGAGTTGATTCCCTCTTCCTCACCACCCTGGCCTTCCACTGCCTTCTGGAAGGGGTTAAACCTCTGTGCTGGCTGGGATACCCCTGCTCTGGGCACGGGGCAGGTAATTTGGGCCTGGGAGACCACCCTGAAGTGGTGGTGCTGCCCTGGGCATGCTGTCCTGGAGAAGGGGATTAGAGGTCAACTCTAAATGGAGCTCAGATAAACCTGGATGGTTCCAGTAAACTCAGTCCCCCTGTGCAGCCCCAGCCCAGCTGAGGGTGTTATTCTGTGTCTGACACATGGTGAGTGTTCCTGGGACAGGGGACTTGTACCTTCTGGCTGGAATACCATGAACCCTCCTGTCTGTGTGTCCTCTGCCCAGTGCACTGTCCCAGAAGGTGGCCTTGTCCCCAAGTCACTGTATCAAACCGAGGACGAGCCAGAGAACTCTGATCACATCCGGCTGTGGACAGAAACCATCTACCATTCTGCAAGTGTCCTCAGGGGAGCTCCACACGAGGTACAGACCCCAATTCCTGGGCTCAGGGAGGGGGTTCCTTTTGTGAGGCTGACTAGAGCAGCAAAGGGCTCCCCCAGGGAGAGCAGGAGGTGGCTGGGCAGCAGTGCTGTTCCTAGAAGGATGATGTTAGGGCTGTTAGCTGGAAGTGTGGGAGTTAAGAACAGCACTTTGAGAAGCAGTGTCACTTGTCTCTGCTATGGCCTGATCTTCTGTAAGATACACTCTCTTCCTCCTCCTCCTGGGGGAATTAAAGGTCCCTCCATGTCCCTTGTGGCAGTTCAGCTCTCAGCAGCGTGGCTGGGAGGGCAATGGGGGCAATGTAAGAAGGTGTTCACTGGGAACAGCCTGATGAGAGTCAGCAGGAAACAGAATGTCCCAAAAAGGAGCCACCTGAGTATCAAATCGGGCCTCTGTTCTCACTGATGGACAGTGAGTCTGATTTGGCTCTTTGCTGTGTCCTGTGCCTCTTTTCCACAGAGGTTTTCCTAGAACTAGTAACTGATTTACAAGGAACTCTAATATGGGAAGAGACAGGGTGAAAACACTTGAGCAGATGTACTGTGGCAGGAGACTGGGAATGGGAATGCTCTGTATCCTCCTCGGGAGTCAAGGCCATCAGCCAGCTGAAGGACTGTGTGTGCTCCACGGGTGGGGAGGAGCACCCTGGCTGCCACCTGACTCTGCAATGGGCTTGTTCTGCTCCCTGCTTTAGATAGTCGTGGAGATTCTGGAAGGGGAATCCGTCATCACCTGGGACTTCGACATCCTGAAGGGGGACGTGGTGTTCAGCCTCTTCCACTCCAAACGAGCTCCTGAGCCAAGTCACAAAGAATCCACGTTACCAGGTCCCTGTGCTGGGGACAATGTGCAGCTCATCGACAGGACCTGGGTGCTGGGCGTGGATTTCAGCCGTGTGGAGTCACCGCTGGTCTGCCGGGAGGGGGAGAGCATCCAGGTCAGAGGGGTCTGGGGAGAGCATCCAGCTCAGAGGGGTCTGGGGAGAGCATCCAGGTCAGAGGGGTCTGGGGGCTGGCAAGGATCTCACAGTCCTGCAAACTCCAAAATGAGCTGCTGGTGAGGAAGGAATTGATGACCTGAGAGCCCCTTCCAGTGCCTAAAGGGGCTCCAGGAGAGCTGGAGAGAGACTTTGGACAATGGCCTGGAAGGACAAGACAAGGGAGAATCGCTTCCCACTGCCAGAGGGCAGGGTTAGATGGGATATTGGGAAGAAATTTTTGGCTATGAGGCCCTGGCACAGGTTGCCCAGAGAAGCTGTGGCTGCCCCTGGATCCCTGGAAGTGTCCAAGGCCAGGTTGGACAGGGCTTGGAGCGACCTGGGCTAGTGGAAGGTGTCCCTGCCCATGGCAGGGGGTGGCACTGGATGAGCTTTAAGGTCCCTTCAACCCAAACCATTCCATGATTCTGTGATCATTCTCTGGGTTCCCTGTGAAAGTGGCTGCTGTCCCAGGGCTGCTTTAGAGTGAGCCATTGGAAAGAGACTCCATGATAAAAACCTAATGGAAAAGAACCTTTTTTACTGGCACTGCAGGGGAGTGTCTCAGGCAGGTAAAGGAGGTGACACCTGTGCCCAGAGCCATCAGCTCCATCGGGTTTTTTTGACTTCACTGGGTCATTCAGCCATTTCCCAGGACTCCCCGTGGTCACTGGTGTCCCTCCCTCTCTCCAGGGCTCCCACGTGACGCGCTGGCCGGGGTTTTACATCCTGCAGTGGAAGATGCACAGCCCACCCCCCTGCTCCAGCTCCAGCCTGCCCCGCGTGGACGATGTGCTGGCCTCCCTGCAGGGCTCCGGCCACAAGTGCAAACTCATCTACTACTACGAGGTGTTGGCCTCCAAGGACTTCAGGTGGGACATTTAGGGGCATTTACTACATGAGTTGCACTAGGGAAGCCAAATGAGAGCGATGAGTGTGAGTTAAACATTTGGATAGCGGTCATTGGTGATAATTTTGACACAAACTTGGTGGCATTTTGCACAGTCTCCTTTAGTGCTGTAGGTATTAAGGGCCCCCTTGGCTGTGTGTCCACCTGAGGAATTTGTGCTTCAGGTCTTGCTTGCAGCTGCCAGAAGAGCAGGAGGTTTTTGACTCAGGAGGTTTATCTTAGTCGGGGAGATTTTGAGAAGTTACTTTTGGAGTAACTCAAATATCAGCTGGGCTATTTCCCAGATACTCTGTCTGGCAGAGAAGGATGTCTGCAGTGACTCAGAGAGCACTTCTGAGCAGGTGAACAGTCAGCCTTGGGACAGTGTGCCTGGCCTCCTTTAGTGCTGAAAGCACTTCCCAGTCACCTGTTAATCTGAATTCTTTGCGAGACCTCGACCTTTCCCTGGAGCTGGAGGAAGTGTTGGGCAGAACAGACTTGCAGGTGGTGACCTGGCCAGATCCTGTGGAGTCAGAGCAGCAGCAAACACCTCCCTCCAGTCATGCAAACACGTTCCTTGGTGGTCTTCCTGCCTTAACTGAGCCCAGCCTGCTTTTGGCAGGAGCTGGAAACAGTGGCTGGGCACTCTGGAGTTGGGACTCTGGTGTTCAGCAGCCTGCAGTCCTTGGGCTCACAGTGGCTGCTGCACTTGGGGTGCACTGGAGTTTTCCTTTCTGCTCAGGGACAGCAAAAACAGCCCTGCAGAGGCTCCAGCTCTGTCCTCTTCAGAACAACAGCCAGGGACAAGGAATAATATCTGTAACTGGGGAAAAATATCTCTAATGAATTTTTCATGATGACACGGAGATTCTTAGAGAGCAAGTGGAAAATGATGGAACAAAAAGCACTTGTACAAGCACTATAGAGGGTAAACTGATCTGTCAGGGGAATAGTTCTCCATTAATTGCTGCCTTCCTAACAGCACATCTGCTTTGTCCCATCCCAGGGGATCCATGTCGAGCCTGGAATCTTGCAACAGCGGCTTTTCCCAGCTGAGTGGAGTCACGACATCTTCCAGCCAGTCCCAGAGCAGCTCCCACCTTTCCAGATAGCAGAGCCAAGGCTGCAGGGAAACACCACCTGGGCCTTCCTGCCCCCGGAGCTGCTCCCAGCCCCAAACCAAAGAGCTCCAGGGCTGAGCCTTGGGGCAGTTGTGTCGCAGCCATTTGGGCACAGAGAGGCCTCTGGGAGCTGCTTAAACCACAAGACCTGAAATTCCAACGGCGGGTTTGGAGTTCTGGAGCAGCTGCTGCCCCTCAGTGCTCTCTCTCACCGCCTGTGGATTTTGGATGGATGTCCCTTGGCAGGGATTGCTCCAAAGGGCTTCTCCCATCGGTCCTTCCCGTGTGTGGCAGAGGAGGCTGATGTTGCCTTACTTGTTGGACCTTTTGGTTATTCCTGGGTAGCAAAACTACTGGAGTTTCCTGGGTGCCCACAGGACAGTCGAGTTGGGCATTCCAGGGGCCGGGCCTTGGAAGGACACCTTGGTACAGGTAGGAGAGTTCAGAAATCACTTCCAGGTCAAACCAAAAACCTCTCCTGGTCTGGCAGGATGTTACTGGGAAATGTGGTGGATTTTTGTAACCCTGCTGGGACAAAGTCAAAACAGTTTTCTGGAAAGTCCAGGCAGGGAATCTGCCTCCAGCAAGTGGCATCTTCCTAAAGGTAAACTATTGTTCTTTCTCCTCAGGTTTACAGCAATAATGAGTAGGTCTGTCCCATCCCTGAGTGGATGGGAACTGAGTCCAATTCTAAAGGGCTAAGCAAAGCAATATTTGATTTCCTGAAGGCACAAGATTTTCTGGCAGTAACTTGCTTACAGTTCCTGCAGAACTTGCTTCTTTAAAACATGAGCTCACTTGAAACCTTTCAAAGAGGCCTGTATGTATGTAAGCACTTACTGAAGCCTATTTATTCAATGCTAGCTTATTTTAAATTAATTTTTAACTTATTTATAATGTCAGAAATGACTATTTATTAAATCTAGCCACCTTTTTTAATGGGATGAACTTTGATTTTAGAAAGGAATAACTGGTTGTCTTCAATCCCAAGAAGTCTTTCTACTTAAATCCCAATCTTTTGTGATCACTGGATGTTCTTGCAAAAAGGGCTGCACCGTGCAGAGCACTGGGGTAAGGGCTGTGTCACCTTCCCTGCAAGGGAAGGGGAGAGTCCAGTGCTTTTTGGGCTGTTTCTTAGGATTAAGAAGCCAGGATTGAGTTCAGGAGTTGTCGTGAAGATTCACTGTCTTCCTGCACACCAAAAATCCCGTGTTTGTCCCTCATCTCCACTGGTGGTTCGTGTGGTCGGGCTGGGGAGCAAAGTTATCCCTGTTCTTGTCCCCGTGGCAACAAAATGAGAACAGGCATCAAATACTCCCCGAGTTTTCATTCAGGCTGATGGAATCTGGGCAGTCCTTCCTTCCCACCCTGCTGGTTTAATTCCTGGTTTGGAAGCACCAGGTGCTGCCAAAGGAGCCCAAATATTCTGAACAATGAGAGATGAGAACTTAATGTGTTTGTGAGTTGTTTGGTGATTTTTTTTTAAAGGATTGGAGCCAAGGGAATCACTCTCCCACCTTGCAGGGCTCAGGGAAGTTCTGATTTCCAAGGATTCCCCAGTTGTTCCATGGACTTTTAGCATTTGTCCCACACAAGTGCAACTTCTGTCTCCAGCATTTCAGCATAAATGGAGTCTGAGAGTGTGGGACAAGTATCACCTTTCCTCTGAAAAATCAGGAGTTTCGACAGTAAAAGTGCATGTGTGTATCCCTCATGGAAAATCCTTTATCCATAATTCATTCTGATGCTCGAAATAGAGTTTCAACCAACTCCCAAAGCCTCAGGAGCAAACCCAGCCCATCCTCCCTGTGCTGGTTCAGGATTTCACCTTCTTGGGGCTCAGTTTTTACATGGTTGCTCACGTCCCACGGTGGCAACGTTCCTGTTTCCTGTGGTTTCCTCTGGTTAAGAATCTCTTCCTTCACACTGGGATATTTTTAAATTTTATTTTGAAATGTGGGATGCGCTGTTTTCTCCCCACACTAAAAGTTTTGGGTGTTTAACTCTTGTCAGTGAGGCACCTGGAACTTGGCAGCTCTGGCAGGTCTCTGGAGGAGCCAGGGAGGCCTGAAGGGCTGGTCCCACGGAGTCTTCCTGGCTCCAGGGACATCCCAATCCTAGTTTTTCCTCATGTTCCTTGTCAGTGCTGCTTCTCTGCCCATGAGATCACGGCACAGGTGTGTTTGGGAAGCAGCTTGTGACCTCTCCCTTGGCAAAGCTGCCTGGGTTATCCCACCTACCCATTTACTTTGAAACCAATTTGAATAATCCAGTATTTTTTCCCTATTTTTCCTGAATGTTAACAGGAGAAAGGGAGCAGCAGCCTGGATGTTGTGGCTGGTGCTGTGCTGTGCTTTTTAAACCTGACCTTGTGAACTGCCGATACCAGAGATGGAATTCTTCTACATCACCTTTTTCCCCTCAAATGACATCAGTGTGCTTTAGAAAATCAGTTTTTTTCACAGCAGCTTCCTGTGAGTTGAGGCTGGGAGGAGTTCTGGATCCTCTGGATCCTCTCCTAAGGCAAAACCTTGGGGTGCTGACTGGAGATGCAGCAAGGCCCTCCCTGCTCCCTCCCCAGCAGCAAAGCCAGTGAGCTCGGGCTGTGTTCAGGTAATTAAAAAACAGCTCCCAGTAAATCGGGGCCTCCCTGTTTCAGATATTCCATATGCAAACACAACACCTACCTCAGAGCTGCTGCCGTGTTTCCTGTGCTGGGGTGCAGAGGGCTGTGCCAGAGTTTACAGTTAAATACAGCCAGAGGTGAAACCTTTTGTTCTCAGTGATTCCTCCAGGTTCGCCCCTTTTCCTGGTGTCTGTCCCAGCACGACTGGGAAAGGCAGACATGGGGCACGAGGATGGATGTTGGATCGTTCAGGGCACGGCTGCACTGCAGTCCTGGGCCGTTCTGGCTGAACATTCGCTGCCTCTCAGGGGTGAAAAGGGCTTTTTCCCGCTGCAGCAGAGGAGCCTCCGGGGCTCCAGGGGCGGCTCCAGGGGCGGCTCCAGCGTTTCTCGGGGCACGGGTGAGCTGTGACCCGGCACCGAGGGCTCTCGGTCACCAGGGAGGCACCAGAGCTCCTCTCAGGAGTTCCTCAGCTCCTGGACTCACTTCTCTTGGGAAAGGGAATTCCCGGCTGTGCCCAGGTGAGGGAGCCCGGAGTGACGCTGGGAGCGTTTGCTGCCGCGTCCAACCAGTTCCCTTTCAGGAACAGGGAAAAACCAACTTGGAATAAGAATTTCTAATCCCAGCTTGGTTTGAAAAAGTCATAATCCGCTCGTCCCAAATCTGTACCACCTCCTGAGCTTGGAATTCCCGGTGGGGAGTGCTGAGCCCAGCTGTCCACCCTGCTGGGGTGGGAAGTGCTGAGGAAGTGCCAGCCATGCTCCAGGCAGGGAATCCCTCCTTTCAGAAGGCACACACTGCTTTCATATCCCAGATGTTTATACTGTGAGCAATTAATGCAAGGAGCAGCTATTCGACTCTTAACTGACAGCACTTCTCAAAGATTCCTGCATGGATTCAGCTTTAATATTCCTCCAACACCTTTGTCACGATCCTCACGCCTGATTATTTCTCTCTTGGAAGGCAAAATTGGAATTGTGTCACATGCACAGGCTTTTAGTGACACCAACACCCACTTCCAAGTTCTTAGTGACATGTGTAAGTTAAATGGGCATTAATTATTTTACTTACTTTCTCTCCCTTGCAGCTGGCTTTGGTTTTATTTACTGAAATCCTCATTTTTCTCAGCCAAACCTCCTTTAAGAGCCCTCTGCAAACTGCTGGGCCCTGTAACGTGTTCCCTGACAACAAATGTGCTTCAGTGACTGTCTGTGGGTCCTGGTAGAGCTGTACCTTTGGGTATGTTGGAAATAAAACAGCATCTCTAAGAACACGTGGAATTGTTTGATGCAATTGTTCAGACTGGGGGAAACTGGAAATTTAAGCCTGGGTGCTGCTCTTTCCCCCAGAAGCAGAGGTAAGGCTGGCTTGTAGTCACTTATTCCTGCTCTTGAACTAAAATGGTCCCTTTTTCCCTGCAGAACCAGCATTTTTGTTTAGTTTCCTAGCCCAGAGTGGGCTGGGACAGCACATCCTGCAGTGTGGCTGTTATTTAAAATAAAAGGCCCCTGGGTTCCAATGGGAGGCTGAGGTTAACTGGGAAAGGATCACGGCTCCTTCTGCAGCTGGACATCAGGAATCTGAGTTTCAGGCAGGTAGCACTAATAGACTTTATTCAATTTCAAATAATCTTCTGTAAATCATAGAAAAATAGAGTCTTCTGGTTACAGGCTGATCTGATGCCAACAGTGGCACAGAAATTACACATCCTTTACATGGAGAGGTAAAAAGGGAGTGAGTGCATAAATCTGTGGGTGTCGGGGCTCAGACAGGCTCTAACCCCTCTGCAGCATCCCAGGGGCACGTTAAAGGCTGGCTTTCCCTCAGTGGAAGCAAACTCTAACACTGTTCCAGTTTAATTGTGCAAGGAGGGGTTCTGGATTTCCAGATGAGGTGTTTGGGATCTGGGAGGGCTTGAAGAACTTGCTGGTTGTGGTCCCTCTGAGGAGAGTCCAGCTGGGGCAGGGCAGCCCAGGCCGTGTCCTGCCAGCCATGCCAGGCTGTCCCTGCCTGTCCCCCTCCCTGGCTGGTGACAGTCCCTGAGCCCCCAGAGCCCATCGGCTGCTGGGGCTACAAGAGATGCACCAATGGAACTTGTGACCTGACAAGGCTTTTCCTGTTGCTGAGCTGCAAGAGCCTCCCCAAAATGCAGCGCCCATCACACGCTTCTGGGCCAGGAGGAGGGCTCTGGTTTCACTGGGTGCTGCACCTGCTTCAGCATTTTAAAACGTTTTGTCACTTTTCTGATTAAAATCTGAGCTCACCAGGGAAGGGCAGACATAGACTCTAACACCCTTAGGCACCAGCTTCCTTAACCCAGCTTTGTGCTAGAGGCAGTTTACCTTGCTGAGTCTTACAACCACTCAGCACTGCCCAGGTGGGCAGGGACCTTCCTGAGGTGCCTGTGGCTGGCACTGCTCACCCGCATCCCTCAAGGTTAGGAAGGAACCAGCCCGTTTCCTTTCCTGCTGCTGCTGTGGGATTCCCTTACCTAGTGCCCTGCATCCCATCACGGCCCTGGGGATGCAGCCCTGGGGGCTGGGGCTGGAGCAGCAGAGGAGAGGGAGCCGTGGCTGAGCGAGGGGCGTTCCTGGGCTGGGTCACCTCAGGCACGGTGACTCTGTCCCGCTCAGTGCTGAGGGGCTGTGCAGGGGGCACAGTGAAACACCTCCTCTCTTCCCATCTGGGACTCTAAAGTGAGTCCTGAGTGTCCTCTGGCTCCCGAGTGTCCTCTGGCTCCCAGGCAGCAGCACTGGGGGTGTGTGTGGCCTCCCCGTTGATGTCCCTCAGGGGGTGGTACCGATAGTCCCCGCGCTGCCGCTCCGACCGCGCCCTCAGCACCAGCCCCACGTTCCCCAGGGCACTGAGCACCAGCAGCAGGGCCAGGCCACAGCTCAGGGACAGCCACGTGCTCCTGGGGGACAAGAAAAACCCGCATAGGCAACATCTCGGCCTGTGTCACATGTTCCCAGGGTGCAAATCATTTGTCAAGGACTGCCCTCAGCCTTCCCAAGTTTGTGGTCCTGCTCTCAGGCAGGAGAGAATCAGGGAATCCTTTAGGTTGAAAAAGCCCTCTAAGATAATCAAGTCCCCTGGTGTGCCAAGGCCACCACTAACCCATGTTCCCAAGTGTCACAGCCACAGGCTTTTAAATCCCTCCAGGGATGGTGACTGCCCTGGGCAGCTGTGACCACCCATTCCATGAAGAAATTTCCCCAATACCCAAATCTCCACTGGCACAACTTGAGGCCATTTCCTCTTGTCCTGTCCCGTTCCCTGGGAGCAGAGCCCGACCCCCCCCCCAGCTCCCCCCTCCTGTCAGGGAGTTGCAGAGCCAGAAGGTCCCCCCTGAGCCTCCTTTTCTCCAGGCTGAGCCCCTCCCATGCTCTGTGACAGCCTCTGAGGCACACACTGTGTACCACCCACTTACTCTGACAGAGAGAATCTTTCTTTGCTCCTTTCCTTATTCTGGGAAGCCACACACTGTCCAGCTGGAAAACAAAGAGGGAAGAAAGGCAGTGTTGGGGAGGAGGGTGTAAAATTCCACTGAAAAAAAACAAGCTTAAGCAGAGCTGGTGACTAAACCAGCACTAAGGCTGCTCTTTCAACTGTTTTTGACAACCCCCAGGCCCTGCAGGTACCTCTGAGCAGCTGCTCCTGCAGTGCCCTGTCGTGGGTGGTGTTGCAGCTGCCGGTCTGGGGGTCGCAGGGACACGAGTGCTCACACACACACTGGCTCTGGCAGCTGGGCCCAAACCAGCCCAGGGGACACTCTGGGGAGTTGACACAAAGAGGTTGGTCATTGCCAAAGCTCCACCTGCTCTGGAACCACCCAGGCTGTGGCTGCAGCTCCTCCAGCTCAGCTGAGCCTGCAGCAGCCTGGGAGCACCACGCTGGGAGTTCTCTGCTGCCCCTTTGTGTGTCAGGGGGAAGTTTCAGGGATCACAGAATCCCAGAATGGTCTGGGCTGGGAGAGACCTTAAAGCTCATCTTGTCCCACCCCCTGCCATGGGCAGGGACACCTTCCACTAGACCAGGTTACTCCAAGCCCTGTCCAACCTGGCCTTGGACACTCCCAGGGATGGGGCAGCCACAGCTTCTCTGGGCAACTCCTCTGGGATGGAGCTGCCTAAGCATTCCCAGGCTGGAACTCCATCCCTAATGGAATGAGGCACACGTGGAGTTTACACCCTGCTGTAATTAACTTGTTCACTGGGATCCACAGGGCCCCAAGTGCCTCAGAGAAGCTGGAGTGGTGACACAAGGGAGAATAGCACCAGCCCCATCAGCACTGGCACAGGGACAGCCACACCAGGAAGGTGGGATGGCACAACAGCCTCTGGAGCACTCCACAGACACTGACCTGGATCACCTGAAGCCTGGGCTACAGGCAGGGCCTGGTGCAACACCCTGGAGCAGTGGATGATCCTGTTCTACACTCGGGAGTTTTGGGGCTGAGACTAAACAGAAAACCACAATTTTCTGTTGATGAAGGAAACTCCTCCTTCCTCTCTGCCCTTGCTTTCCTTTTTAGCCCACTTGGGTAGGACAGGAAGAGCTGGGAGCCAGCAGGTGACACTCCAGCTGTGACGTTCAGGCCTGAGCCCCCCTGGCAGAGCTCCCTCTTGCTTTTCCTACAAGAGGTGGCTCAGAGGTGACACAAAACCCTCTCCCAGCCCAGGTGGCCCTTCAGAGCAGCCCTTACCGTGCTCACAGCTGGTGCCATAGAACCCAGGGGGGCAGGAACAGGCTCCATGCACGGGGTCACAGGAGCCACCGTGCTGGCACTGGCACTTCTGGCTGCAAGATTCCCCATAGAAACCAGGAGCACAGGCTGCAGAGACAAGCGGGGACGTCATCAGGGCCCTCACTACACAGTGACACGCCCCAGCACAGCCACAGCTTGGGGTGTGTTTGGCCTTTCCCTCCCTGCTCCCTCTTGGGAAGTGGTCCCAGTCCCCTCTCCCTGGCTGGGAGAAGCAGAGTGCAGTGCAGTGAGTATTTACCTTCTGTGCAGTTGCTGCCAGTCCAGCCGGCGTCACACAGGCACCCAGCTGTGCAAACACATGGAACAGCCATTAATGACAACAAAAAAAAACCACTTGGAAACAGCAGGGACCCAAAATTAGGAGCCTCTGCCTCTTGAGGTGCCCCCTTACCCCTGCCAGGAAACGCCCAGAAGAGGAACCCTGCACTCACACCCAGGGTGGGTTCACCCACTGCAGCTGCCAAAGGCAGCAGAATCCCTGCGGAGGGGATTCCCTGGGATCAACTCTGGGTCAGCTGCTGCACCCCTGCACCCACCAAGCTCTGCCCAGGCACTGCACTGGTGCACACCTGAATGAGAGCTGAACCAGAGCACAGGTAGAGGAGAACGGGACTGAGCAGCACAGAGGGGCAGAAGCTGGGGGTGAACATTCCAGCAGTCCCTGGCTTTGAAATGAGTTTATGAAGAAGTGGCAATGGCACAGTGATAAAAATCATGAAGTGGGAGAGACAAGTAAAGAAGGAACAGTAAAGGGACAGGGCAGAACCAGCTGCTGCCACGCACCATAATACACTGCCCTGCCTTAAAAAAACCTGAAGCAACCCCGGGGCAGAAAGGGAAACTGAGGCCCAGAGTTTGACATCAAGGCTTATTTCAGGCCCAGTTCCCAGGCCTGAGCCCAGCCCAGCCCTGCTGGCTCCTGAAGGCAACATGTTCTGCTTATCCCCAGTGCTGCTCCAGCCGCTGCAGGGCAGGGGGAGGGCAGCCCCGACCCCCAGCCAGGCCCAGGACGTTCCCAGCGCCCAGGGCAGCACCCACAGCCCCCGTGCCGGACTCACAGGGGGTGCAGAGGCCGTGCAGGCTGCAGTTGGCAGGGCCACAGTCCAGGCTGTCGCAGGCAGGGCCCGTCCAGAAGGCCCCGGAGCAGCGGCAGTGCCCGGCCTGGCACAGCCCGTGCCCGCTGCAGTCGGGGGGGTCACAGCCCGGCTCGTGCACACAAACCACGGTGGAGACGCGCCGGGGGCAGCGCCACGTGCTGTCAAAGGAGCTGGGGGGACACAGGAGGGGACACAGGGGGGGACACGTGAGCTGTGCAGACACTGCGCTGCCCCAGCCCCACCCAGAACCAGCCGATACAACCCCACAGACTGTCATCCCCATTCACACTGGCCAACAAGAATGTTAATAATAGGAAAATATAAACACAAAACTAGATTTGAGCCGGTGTTTTAACTAACCATTAAATCCCCATTGGATAGGAGTAATTTCAAACATGGAATTAGAGA